CCTGCTGCTCCCCTCAGCAGTGTACTTCGTTGATCTGCCTGTTCTGCTCCCCGTTCTGTCTCTGATGAATCCTCTCACCCTCCGCATCTCTGGCCTGTACCCCAGTTCTATATGAATACATAAATAAAGCTTTAAAAAAAAATAGCCAAGCATCCTAGAAAAATAACTTACCATAAGCAGAAACAAATCAGCAGAAATAGATAAACTAAGACTAGCATTATGGGATTGTAAAACAGTCACACTTACTTGATTTAAAGATATGAAGCACAAGTCAAACAATATTTGCATGGAGCAAGAATCTGGCAGTGACATCAAAGATTTGAAAAGTAGCCAAAGAGAATCTCCAAAATGAAGGGGGAAAGATGAGTGAATGGGTTTAACAACAAATGAGACACTGTGAAGAAAACTAGCAAAAAGGCCCAAAGAAATTACCAAAATAGGTCCTCCCTGGTGGCGCAACAGGTTGGGATGCAGCACTTCAAGCTAGCTACAGCCACTTCAGGTGAGTTCGATTCCTGGCCCAGAGGTGATCCACATGGTGCAACAGACCTCTTCTATCTTGCCTGCTGTTCCCCTCAGCAGTGTACTTTGTGGATCTGCTTGTTCTGCTCTTCACTCTGTCTCTGGTGGATCCCCTCTCTGCCCCTGTACCTCTGGCCTGTACCCCAGTTCTGTATGCATAAATAAATCTTTTTTTTGAATTACCAAAATATTTCAAAAATAGACAATACTAGAGAAGATACCAAAGAGATATGAAGATACAGAGAGAACATAGTCCAGAAGACATTCACAGTCCCAGTAAGAGAAGCAAGACTAAGGCTGAGACAGTAATTAAACTGAGAAATATCGAGAACAAATGAAAGTTGCGAACTACAGATTCAAGAGGCCCAGTAAACCCAACTGCGATACTGAAAAGAAACCCTCTTTCAGACACACTACAGTGGAACTTCATAAAATCAAGACATAAAAGACATTTAAAGGCAGACAGAGGAAGAAAACAGATTACCTTTAAAGACTGTCCATTGTTCTTACAACAGCAGCAACTGAGGCCAAAGACAATGATAGATCTTCAAATATTAAGAGAAAACAATTGCCAATCTAGAATTATATTCTCAGTGAAAATATCTTTTAAAAATGGGAGCAAATAAAGGCAAAAACTGAGAGAATTTGCTACCAGGAGACAAATCACTCAAAGAAATTATATAAAAGTGTTCTTCAAGAAGAAACAAGGTAATCCCAAATAAAAGATCAGAGACACAGGAAGGACACAGAAAGTTAAGAAAGTGCATGGATCTTAATGAATAATATTTGAATAATGCAGCAAAAATGCCTTTTCAGTTTTTAAAGAAGGAAATGACAAACCTAACAACTATAATTTATAATCAGGAGGTATGTAAATAGTAGTTAAAGTGTTTGGAGGTGAGTGAAGTATGGGTATTTTACCAGTCAAATAAGAAAAAAAGAAATGATAGTAACGACCAACATGGATGATGAGATGAATGAAAACCAACCATATGATCAAGCAGAGCAAACTACAAGCCCAAACAAGAGATGCAAACCCATCTAGATAACATGACTGAATATTCCATATTAAAGTCAGACTGTCAAACTCACTCTAAAGCAAAACCAGTTGCAAGTATGCCATTTGCAAAAAAAGAAAAACAGTTGAAAATATATAAATTACAAACACCAAAATAAAGTTGATACAGACATAGAGATAAGATTATATATAAATATATATCACACAATAGATGGCAGGTAGATAGACAGACAGACAGACATAGTACACCAAAAGCTTTTATTTTCATTAAGACACTAAAAGCTTTATCCTGAGTCAAAGGATATGGCTGAGCTTAAGAAAGGATGAAGAAAAATTAAATGGGAGAAAGTATAACATGGTATGTAAAGAAAGAATAATCTAGTACAAGAGGAAAAAGTGATGATTTAGGAGGGAAAGACATAACATCCTTGGTGGGCAAGAGTGGCCAGAACCCAGAGCATAGACAGTGCAGGGAACACTGCCAGCCATGAGGACAGGGGTGGCTGGCATGGGGGTGGATCCCGTGAGATGTGGGGGTATAGAGGTTCTACAGTGATTGTTTCTAGGCTTTCAGGAAACAGGAAAAAAGATCATCATTTGAGAATGAGAGTTTTCAAGAAAGGATGTGTGGGAAATATGTGGAGAGAAAAGAATGAGTGAGTTTGGCAAGGGACACAATCAAAATTTGCCAAGTATTAGTGACTAGAGACCTATGGACTAATAAATAACATAGAATTGTCCAGTACAAGGGTTCATCTGAGGTTAGCATCATACTGACCACTAACATACTGACCTGCAGTAGCTGCATGCTTTTCTCCAACCAAGTCCTTTGGCTGTAAGTAGGTGATTACATCAGGACCGTGATCTTTCCATTTAATTACATCAGTAAAATCCACTTTGACACAGAAGGCAACATGTTCCAGGTTCCTGGAAGTAGGATATAGTCATCCATGAGGTGGGGGAGGGGTCATCCTCCTGCCTACTACACCTTGACAATCATTCCGAGTCACTCCCACTGTACACTGTTGGGCAAAGCCATCACAGCCAGCCCTTCAAGGGGAAGGGCCACAGACCTTCCTCTCAATGGAAGGAGTGTGAATGAACTTGGGAGCATGTCTTAAAAATTGTCACAGAACCATTCTGCTGTGGCTCTCGCCTTCTGTGCAGAGGGGCTCCACTCCATTCCTGACTCAGCAACATGAACACAGCAGAGGCCTGACAATGCCACAAACATGGGAGAGGAGGCAAGGACACACCGTGCAGAAGAATTTTATGCCAACGTTTTTTTAAAGATTTATTTATTTATACAAACAGAACTGGGGTACAGGCCAGAGGTGCAGGGGCAGTGGGAGGATTCAGTGGGGACAGAATAGGCAGACTGATGAAGTACACTACTGACAGGAGAGGTCTGCATGATGTGGGTCACCTCCCTGGCGGGGATCGAACTCGTGCTGAAGTGTCTGTGGCCAGCTTCATAGTGCTGTGCTTTAGCCCAACACCATTAAGGAGGGTCCACATTATGCCAAATTTAAGTAGTGTCATATATAACAATTAATAATCCTCTCCTTGTGCAGCGTGAAGTTAAACAAGCTTTATATTTACTCCAGTAAAAATAAGAACTCAAATTGGACAGGTTTTGAATAATGCAGATGTTTGAAAAATAATGCATCCCTTGCATAGACAAAGAACGCTCTACTTGTTTTAATCCTACAAGGATCCAATATATAACATGACCTAAAGAAAGAAAACAGAGGAGATATGAAAATTGTATCTAACTTTAGCATAAGAATTAAAGAATCACCAAATGATTAACTTCTTTCAAAACATGAAAGAAGTTCATGCTGTTTGAATTGTAGGAAAGTTTTTTTTTTTTCCTGTTGAAATCAAGCATTATTAGTAAACAGCAGTTGTGAGAACCCAAAGTGGCTAAATTGTAGGCTTTGTTGGAAACAGGCCTGAATAGAACATATTAGCATAAATTGTATTTTTTATGGTTAAGCTCCAGTGTTAAATATCAAACTGTGTTAAACGATCGCTCACCGTACAGGGGCTAAATTGAACTACCTGCTATATCAGTATCGTAAATTCTCAAAACTGGAGAAGTCAGCAATTTCAATGGATGTGTTTGTAAAAATATCCTGAGGGACTCTGGCTTAACATCAATGAACAAAATGCCCCTTAGAGTGTTAAAAACCTGTCTATTCAGGAGGACTAGCAAAGGGGTAAATATGTGATTAATTTTTAAAGGAAGCCAACATAGTATTTTAAAAAGAGTTCACATTTTGTGTCAGAAAAGAGCTTATATTTTGTTTTCATTTTTCTCTGGGTTATGCATTAAATAAGTTTTGTCTTACATTTTTCACTCAGGAGACCACACGTTGAGTTGTCCAATTAAACTGACCATCACCATATGGTTCCTTCTACCTTTGATGATGGATTTCTGACACATTTCATTTTATGACAAGAAAGAATTAAGCAAAATGGATGCCCTCAAGACTTCATGATTTTTACTAACTTTTATATATTCTTTGAGAATATCAAACATTTCAGAGAGGCCTCTGCCTTCTATCTTAAATTAATGTTTACGGGCCCTCCCTGGTGGCGCAGCGGGTTAAAGCACTGCACTAAGAAGCTTAAGCCACTTCCTCATGAGTTCGATCGCCGCCTGCCCCGGAGGAGATCCACATGGTGTGGCAGACCTCTCCTGACCCGCCCGCTGCTCCCCTCAGCAGTGTATTTCGTCGATCTGCCTTTTCTGCTCCCCACTATGTCTCTGGTGAATCCTCTCACCCTCCACATCTCTGGCCTGTACCCCAGTTCTGTATGAATAAATAAATAAATCTTAAAAAAAAAAATTAATGTTTACATACTACCCAGCAAACATTTAACATTCTGAGAGCAAGTGGTTTGCATATAATTTATTCTGTAAAATGTAAAATTAAGCCATACACATAAGACAGTGTGGATGATTTAGATAGTTCAGAGCAAATCACTGAAAATCAGATGATAATCTCTTATTTGAAATGTGACCATTTGAAATAATCAAGTATTAGTTAATAAGCATTTTGCTTACATCTCCTAGATCACAAGACACAAGATTGTTAGAAGATGAAATAAGCTGTCATGAACACTTCTCTCATGCTATTTGCACCTCTAATTTTGACACCATCACCATCACATAACCGGCGATCATTCTTAATACCTTTTCCTAATTACAAAAGCAACATATGTTCATAGGAGAAATTTACAAAATACAAACCAAGAAAGTAAATATATCCCTCCATAATAATTTATTTTAAACCCCCTGATTTAGATTCCTGTTCTCACTCTTTAAATCAACAGAAATCAGAATTGTAACAAAGAGGTAAAAGTAAAAGTTAACTCATAAAGTCCTAGAGGGAGACTTAGGAGAATTCTTCAAAAGCACCCCACAACAGCCCAGGCCGTGGAACCTCATCAGGAGAAGACTAGGCTTGCATTTAACATCAACGGATAGTCAAACTGGAGCCATCGTGACACCAGTAGCTGCGTCACTGTGCTGCATAATGCTGTTTATGATTATGGCAATGTAAAGACTTTGTCCATTATTCACCATAAATATGGTGATAGAAACTATCTGAATGTAGCTGGGAACTGAGGCTGGGGGCTGCTGTAGGTGTGCCCCTCCCTGAGGGGGTTGCTGTGAAGACAAACAGCCTTAGGGATAATGTTAAAAAGCATGAAGTTTGTGGAGGGGCCACCTTGGAGAGGAAACAGGAGTGACTGGAACAGAAAGAAGAGAGGGAGCAGGAGAAGAATGTTGTTTGGGCTCCAGGGTTCCAGCTTGGAAGTGCTTCAGCATTTTGGGGACCAGTGGATTTGAGCTCCATGACAGGGCTGATCTTGGAGAAGGCTACTGTGGACCTCTGAAGGTGGAAGCCAGAGAAAGAGGCTTTGCAAGTATCTGAGCGTTGGCAAAGGTTCCTGGTTTTGCTGCAGCCTGGCTTAGCTGCATGAGTGAGGCCTGTTGTTGGGTCATTTGGTGGCTGTGGCTGCTGTCCTCAGCATTGCTCATCTAGTGCTGTGCTGAAGCATCTGCAGCTCTGGGAGCGTCTCCTGTCATGACCTCTGTTGTCTTCGTGAGCTGGAACCTGGCCTGGAGTCTAGCTGCTGTGTGTCCCAGGTCGGCAGAGGCAGGAAGACGCCATCTTAGACCCGCAGCCTATTGTCCAGAGGAGGAGCTGCACATCCTGGTGGCGGGAAGACGCCATCATAACAGTTTTTGTGCAGGACCACACTGGACATGACTTTGGCCTCAGGCACTCTTATTTGTCCTGTTTCTTAAATAAACCCTTTTGTTGTTGTTTCCTAAGCCTAAGCTGTCTTGCAATTGTACACATGGGTGAAGAACCCAGACAGGATTTGGTAAAGTGTTTGGGCAGTGGGGCCTTGGCCAGTTTAGGGTCCCCTCCCATTGGTATCAAATGGAATCTCAAGGCCAAGATAACATAAAGCAGGTTGAGAAAAACGAACAAAAGAGGAGAGGGCTCTGGCCAGCAGGATCCAAGATGGCTTCAGAAAAGAAATATTTGAGTGAACTCTGAATGATGAATGAGCTAAGCTAAGAAGCCAACAGGAATGGCATTCTGTTTGTGCCTGCTTCTCTCTGAATGTTAGTTTCATTCTTTCCTGTTGTTTCCATATCGCAGGAGAGGAGAGGGGCTCCTGGCAACCCCCGGTCGACATCATGACAACTTGCTGACATAAATGAAGAACAGTTTTCTTCACACTTGGTAGACGAGCCTTGGAAAGGCATCTTTGTGACTGGGGGGTGGGGGTGGGGGAGGTGGGTTGTCAAATGCCCATCCCTAGACCATCACTGTGATTGGAGCGATGCAGCCCTAGAGTTGGCCATGTGAGGGCTAAGTAGGAGGCAGTACAGGTCACCTTCATGGCCATTCTCACCAGGACGTATGTGGTAGGGAAGGAGGAAGAGGGGAGCATCTGCTTGGCACATAATAGCCTTAGCTATCCCAGCTTATCCCAGATACTCAGGGGGATTTTTTTCCATCTCAGAGTACCCCTGTCATCTGGGAAGGACGATAAGAGGCTGCCAATGCTCCAGCAAGATACTCTAATGAGGAGTAGCCTAAAGATACATTCAAGTTATCACCTGTAAGACTTGCCTGACAGTTAAAGATTTTCACCAAATGTTCAAAATGGAAATCTCCACTGAATTTCAAAAAAGAGAGCCAATTGCTTCCTGACCACACGACTAAGTATAAGAGCTACCTGGCTCAGCTCTTGTGCCTTTTGTTAGCATTATCAGAAATCTGACCATTGAAACCCCATCATAAATGAAAAGAGCAATCAAAGAGCACTTCCAAAGCGCCAGACACTGTTCTAAGCATGCTACATGCAGTAATACTGGTAACAACCCCATGAGGCAGGCCCTATTATTATTTCCATTATGGATGGAGAACTCAAAGCACAGAGTTGGTCTGGAACCTAGGAGTCCAGCTGCAGAATTTGTGCCCTTAACCCTGAGACCTAGTGCCTCCACTCAAGCCAGATCTTAAAGTGAGTAAGGAGACAGAAAAAAAATAGACCGTGATAAACACTACATTGGACGAAAGTCATCAGTAACAGAGCAAATAAGCAGATGTAGTAACAAGATCTAGATGCAGAAATGTCAGCTCAGAAGCAGAGACATGTTGGCCCAGCCTCAACACTGGCTTAGCACCAGGATACATTGTCTAGAGAGGCTGTGAGCAGTCTCGTTTGACTGATCCAGGTTTAGGACCCCTCCCATGCTTGAGGTGAAGATACTGTGCCCACAAAGTCAGCTTAGTATCTGGGGTGAGATTTCCTAACAGAAGCTAACGTCACACTGGCACACTGTTATGCTCAAAATGTTTCTTTAATTTGGAGGCATCTGTGATGTCCAG